CAAAGTGTAAAAGAGAAGTTAACAGGCTTTTGGTTGTGCAAAAGAACCCTGTCCTCTCTTGCACAGTTTCAGGAAATACTGCTAGAGTTAAATGAGGAGGTTTCTGGATTTTTTTGGCTCTGTGTTTACTTCGTCTGTCATTCAGAAAGGCTTTTGTGTCTCCTGGTATGAAGTTGCTGCTCTAATCAGCCCTGTTCCCTGGCACTCCATAATTTATGCCATTCTGCTAGGGTTTGGGTTACAAGTGGTGCACGTGCTATTTGGACAGAGACCAGATTAATAATGTCTTGTTTGCCCCATCCAGATACCTTTGGGTTTGGTGATAACTATACATGGATTTGAAGTATATTCTGAGGTGATTGTGGGTTCATTTCTTTTTTTGATATGTTTAATTTGTATCACAGCATATCCTAGGGAAAAAAAATGGCTTTAGTTTAATGAAGACTGAACTTCATTTGCCATCTGACAGGTCATTCATCTAGTGTGGGTGGACCCTTGCAAAGACCTTCAGCATCTTATTAAAAGAAATGCCCTTCTTTTACTTGCCTCTTTACTGAAATTCCCATAGTGGTAATTAGTAAGATTATTGCTCCTGCAAAGGCATCTCTTCTACCAGATACCTTTATGCCTTATTTCAGTTCTTTTTGTGAGTTATGGTTTCAGCCAGTTGACAAATAAAGACACAGAACTTGTTAGGGTGTGCTTTGCTTGAGACCTCATTTTAAAAAAGAGGTAGCATAGTTTTCTGCTCCTTAGCCCTTTGGCCTGGGAGTTAGGTCTGGTGAGGGAAGTCTTCTGTCTACCAACTCAACTGCTTCATGCTGAAACTCTCACATATCTCTGGGGAACACCTGGTGGCTGTTGCTGCTTTCCACTGCCAGCAGTTTCAGAGTGTCTGGTTTCTGACAGCACTGCTGTGAAGAGAGTGTGACCAGAGGAGATGAAACTGAGTTTTGATGAACTCCCGTTTTGCAGAGTCCTACACACAAATCTTCTCTCTTCATGTCTATGCCTTTTCTCCCCTTTCATGGGGTGATCCAGCAAGGCATCAATTCTTCTACAGCTTTGCTGCTTCTGAAATACTGGAACTGTGTCTTCTAGTTGAGTGGTTTTTTTGATAGGCATTTCAGTCTTTGTTTCTGCTTGGTGGACCTCACAGCTGTTGAAGCTCCTTTTGACTTTGCTAGGAATGAATATCTGTGTTTTGACAGCTCTCTATTTCAACTTTTACTGTATTTTGAAGCTGGTCAGCCAGGCAGAGAGGGGTAGATGTTTGGCCATCCTGTTTTTAATGTGCTCAGTATTACAGGGCTTAGTTTGTGTGACTGTGGTTTCCTTAACCAGTAACCCATGTCCTGCTTAGGATTTTTGTTTGCCTTAGTTTCAGATCTTTTTGTTTAATGTCACCTTTACCAAAGCATTGCTTTCTAAAACTGTAGCTCTTGGGTTTTTGTGTCATGGCCCCTAGCAGAATGTGAAAGCTAATTATTTTTAGCATAACCTTTAGCAGTTCAATTCCTGTTAATTGTTGCAGTGACTTTGTTGGATGAGCTGAACTGATGGAACAGGTCACTGTCACCTGAGAGGGGCACTTCTCTGTTTTGCTCCTGGCTTGCTGCTTACCTTGCATCTGGCAGAAAACTAACCCAAAAAAGGGAGGCAGGTGGGTTACTGCTGGCTTGGAGAGTTCACTTGACTCCTGGGGGAGTCGTTTGAGTTTGAGAGAGGCCAAAGGGGAGGACCATAGGCCTGGGAGGTGTTGGGAAACTTTGGGTGGGTTCTCATGAAGAGTGGGCCTTTAAATATCTAGAATGATGGTGCAAAGAAAAAGGGAATAAACTTCTGTGCTGTGTTGAGGACAAGGAAGAATCACAGAATGTCAGGGGTTGGAAGGGACCTCTGGAGATGATCAAAGTCCAACCCCTCTGCCAGAGCAGGACCATCTAGTCTAGGTCAGGTCACACAGGAACACATCCAGGCAGGTCTCAAAAGTCTCCAAGGAAAGAGACTCCACAACCTCCCTGGGGAACCTGTAAATAAGTGGGCTTGAAATGAAGCAAAGGAATTGCACTTGATGTGTTCAGAGGCACTTTGAGAGAGGTCTGTGGCATCCTGAGTGAAGGGAAGGAGAGAAGAAGGAATTAGGGTTTGCACCTCATGATACCAGGTGTTGTAGTTGGATGGGACAGGTGGGCAAAGCAGCCAGTCCTGTTTTGGGACTACCAGGAGTGAAGTAAAGCCGCCTGCTAGAGTGAGGAAAGAGCAGGAGCTCTTGGCCAAGGTATGGGGGGATTCTCTGGGGACAGAAATGCAAAAGGCTGATTTTAGGAGGCTGCAGGTAGCTGTCTGGGTAAATCAGGAACAGAGGAAAAAAAAAAAAAAGATTGAAACCAAAATACCAAGAAGACTGAACATCTAATCCCAAGGGGGTTGACAACACAGGTTTGTGAAGGGTAAAAAACAAAAATGGAAAACCAAAAGGTGAAGGAGCATTAAGCCTTACAGACTCTTTCTCATGCTCATAATTTTAGGGTGTAAGTCAGTATTTGTCAGCCATTCTCAAGTGAGCTGTCATCCACCTACAATCAGACCCTTTTCAAACCTGTAGCAGCTACACAGCCTCTGGGCTCACAAATGCCATGAAGAAATCTAGCAGATGTCCAAAAATCACTGCCTCAGCTGTACCACTGAACTGTTCCTCTACTTGCTTGCACAAATGAAGGAAAAATATTCAAAAGAATTTCTATAAAGTACATATTTGTGATGTATTTTGCTTGTTGGTTGTCTGTGAATGGTTCAGTTCATTCTGTTCACTATTCAGACACAATTTGTGACATGAAACTGTCATTTATTCTCAGCCTGGAGTCGCTCCCTGGCAATTCATGGTGAAGATGATGGTCAAGCTGTAGCAGTGTCTTGTCATCAGACAGGTGGAATATTTGACAGTGCAATCATTCTTCAAAAGGTGTAAGCTTTAGCTTTAAGAAACCAGGTAAAAACAACCCAGACTTTGTTTTCTGTGTACTGCTAGAAGCAGCAAAGATGTTGGTACAAACACTTCCCCAAGGAGATATTGAGATTCGTAAAATCTTCCCACTCATTCCCAGAACTAAATCCCTCAAAGTTCCTTAAGCTTAAATTTGTTATACTTCCTTGTTTCCTCGTGAGCACTTCAGGAATAAACATGTATGAGTTTTCAGTGCTGGAAATCATGTCTCATGCACTTCAGCTACCTCTGTGAAGAGGATGATGCTAGCTTTCAAAGAGACTTGGCATAATTCAAATGTTTTTTTTTTTTTTATGGTTTGGCTGAATTTTGACTGTTTTTGTTAAAAAGATGGTCTAAAAGGGCAAAGTCAACTGTTACGGACCAATTTTAAGAAAACTGCTCTTATATAGAGGGCCACCAACAAAACCAGGCCACAGATTGTGGCTCCCAATAGTTTTGATTGTAGCTTTTAAAGTAAATCTTTATATATCTGTATAGCAATGTACATATTGTACCAATCTTACGGCACATGTAATCTCATTAAAGAATCATGAACTTTGGTAGATAGAGCAAAAACACTCTCCAACTTTTGAAGAAGTAATGAGTCCCCTGCATGGTACTTGTGGCAGGAGGTGGTCAGCACAGACATTTAAGTGAGAGAATGTGTCCAGAAGCAAAACCCATAGAATTATCTACTTAAATTGTCAAAAGAGAGAGCTTAAGGTCTCAGTAAGGGATCTCCATCACAGTCCTTCACAGCCCCACCAACACTGGGGCTCTGCTTGTTCTACCAGCTAACCCTCACCCTAAACAGAGTCCAGGTCCAAAACAGACACCTGCCACTTTGAGAGTCTGGCAGACAGAAGCAGCCAGGACTGAAAGCTGTTGGCTGCCCTCACCTTCTCTTGCTCTACCACCTAACCTTCAACCTCACCTACCTCCTCAGGCCTCTCTGGGCACCCCTGGAGCCTGGCTGGTGTGTCCTGCTAAGTCTGTTTCAGGGACTTTGCAGGAGGTCATTGCCCCTGCAATGCTTACAGCAAGTACTAGTGGTTGTTTTTCAGATAGGTTTGATGCTCCAAACCACCTGGGCTCAGGCACGTGCCAGAGGATCCTTCTCTCTGGTCACGTCCTGTGGCATATTCTATAAAATAAGGTGGAGAGGTCCCTGAAGTTGGGACCATCCCCCTCACGTAACCTTCTTATTAAAAGTGTTTGTCCAGTTTTTCTGATTTTGCAGCCTCTTCCAGCCCCCTGCCCTTGTCTTGGGATGCATCTCTCTCTGTGAGACACTTCTCAGCCCCCCTGTTTGCCAGGAGCTGGGCCCTGTGCCAGCTTCCCTTGTGCCCACTGCTGTGGCCAGCTCACATGTGTGGGGGGCAAATTGACTTACTGTGCAAATAAATGGGATGAGAAGCTGTCCTGCTGGATCCTGCTGGATGGGTACAGGTCTTCCCTGGTGATCTCGGAGATCAGCCAGTGCCAGCCACCAGTGCACGGGGACTTGCCCTGCATGCTCGGCTTGTGTAGAGACAGCTCTGCCCAGAGTGCCCCAGGGCTGCCCACCTCCTCTGGAAACCTCCCCTGTGGCTCCTATCAGCCAGTTAAGGTCTGATTGCACTTTGGCCACACCTATGCCATTCACAGCTGTCTTCACGTGCCATCGGGGAAGGAAGGCAGGAAGAAGGAAGAGCAGAAAGAAGGGGAGGGAAGGAAGGAGGCTGCATTTGGCAGTTACCTCCGGCAGCTCGAGCCAGAGAGGCCGACAGTGACACTGGGAGAGGTTCCAATGTCCTCAGCAACTTCCACCACGGCTTTGCCCAGCGGCCTGGGTGTCCTAACAACTTTCCCAGATGTGCTCTTCATTCCTGAACTCGTGAGTGTTGGGTTTTTTTTCCCTGGGGGAGGGCAGATGCTGCTTGTGGGGCATCCAGCAGTCTTCGTGCTGCAGGTGTCTGAAGGAGGAGATTTGAGACAAAGCATGTGCTTCAGAAGCCACACCAGGTCCCTGAGCCAGAGGGGTCTAGGGGCAGCCCCTGGTGCCTGCTAGCTCTCCTTCAAGAAAGCCATAAGCCCTGAGCTGGGGTGCTGAAGCTCCGCTTTAGTCTGCAGGGGGTTTTTGTGATGCTTCTGAAAACCCTTTATAACTTCCTGATGGGATTGCCGGAGAGATTAAACCAGGTTGCCAAATTGAGCCAATTAATTAAGTGGAATATGATTTTAGCAGCTGATAGAGGCAGAGGATAAAGTGCTTGTTCAAAGGCAGGGGCAAAAGCTGGCTGAGGTAGCTGTTCACGGCAGCCACCAGCCCAGGCTGCCGAAGCTGGACTGCTCAAGGGCAGCGTTCCTGGGCTGGGGGTGCAGGGTGCTCTGCCTGGGTGCGTGAGCACGGGGTGAGCAAACAGCTTGTAAATTCTTCCCATATTGCAGTTTTGTTGAGCAGGAAAGGATCATTATCTTAATGGGCTCGATACGGGTGATTAAATGCCATTGCTGTGAGCACTGACTAGAAGATGGAAAGTTTCAGCCTATTCCTTTTTTCCTGTGTTGTCTGCCCCCACCCATGAAACCTGCTCTTCTTGCAACGATGTGAGAGGCTTTTTGCAAGGCCTGAGCACTTTCATCCAGCACTGACGGATCTGGATGAGCGTTGGAGATTGGTATTGAGATTATTTCATGGAAAAAGCTTCAATTTTACCATCTGGGACCAAATCCTTTCCTGTCACTCAACTCAGTCCAAATTCCTGGGATTTACAAATTCATTCTCCTAGTGATGGCAGCCACACCTGCTTCAACACAGTTGCTCTTTGCATTACCAACGTGTTGAGAAAGGCTTTGCTCCAGCTCCTCCAGATAAGCTCTGGGGACTTTGGTCTTTGTGCCCAGGCCCTGAGAGCAAGGCTCCAGATTCCTTCAACTGCATGGAGGAGACAGCAAAGTCTTTGTGGAGTTTCTGGCTGGGCAGACACTGGCCAGGCTCCCCTGGCACTGGGTTGTGTTAGCCCTGGTGCTGAGCGTGCTTTTGGCCTTGCCGCGCTTACGGTACCGACTGTGCCTTCAGCTGTTTGTGATTCCTGTCTCCAGGGTATCTGGCAGGGCAGCTTGCTTAATGTAACATAAATAAGCACCCTGACCTTTGGTTTGGGTAAGACCTGGAAATGTGCATCCTAAAGGCTCAGGAACCACCCTGGGAAAGAAGAATGCTGCATAACTGGATTTTTTCCATCTCGGGAGGTGTATGACTCTGGGTTGTGGTGTTGTGTTATCTCTGCTGGAGGTGGTTGCCTTGAATCACAGCATTCAGAAGGATGAAGAGTTTCTCAATCCTTAGGGGAATCCGAGATTGCCTGGAGCAGGTTAATATGGTAACTAAAAAAAACAACCAAAACCCAAGTGGCATTTCAAATGCCAGACAATTGTGAAACTATCAGCAGGTCCTGCCTGCAGCTCGGGTGACTGACACATCTGCCTATGCTGATCAGGAACTACCATTTTTATTCTGTGAGGCAGGTTTAATTCTTGTGACATATTTTATGTGGAGAGCTTTCTATGTCTGTGGATAGCCAGGCCTATTTGGAAAAGCTGAAAGAAGCTGGAAATGGGTATGCTTGCTTTGTAAAGGGCTGTTTGAAAGACAGGTGTTTTTTTTTTTTTTCTTAGACTGCTGTCCCCAGCCTGCTGTAGGTTGTTACTGAAAGCCTTTTGACCCTTTTCTCATTTTTATGAGTCTTCCGTGAGGACCGTAAAACCAATGTGAGCAATTAAACCATGTCAAACATACTTACCTGTATGAGAAATCACATCCTGCTG